TATTGCTGAAGCTTTCTTATAGGCACAAATGAAGAAAACTAAAGAAGCAATTATAAATTCTCTACAGCCCAGGCCCTGAATTCATCAATGGAAACTGTCTTCAATAGGGACATCCATTCCTGATGGGTGGTGACAACAAGTGGTGGCTGTGGTGTCCCCATTAATTTGTTACAAATATGTACACACCACTCACCATTTCCAGGCAGCTTTCTAAGCCCTTTACATAGCATCTCAAACCACTGTTACCATCCCCAGTTCACACACGAGGAAACTGAAGCAAAGGAGAGAGTTAAGCAACTTTCCCAAGGTAACAGAAATAACAAATGGTGGAGCCAGAATTTGAACCCCTTTAGAGCCCTTGTTTATAGCAGTGTGGTAAGGAATGAGCAGAACTCAATGCATGTTGTAAATAATTATTAATTGCAGTCCTTGGGACCCACACCACCTCTCCTCTGTAGTCAGCAGGGGGAGCCAGAGTCCCTGGTCCACTGTGCCTGTGCCCCAGTCCAGGCCCCTGTGACTGAAAGTGGAACTGCCCTCGCTAAAGAGACATGCCCAATTATTCACACTTGGTTTGGGGTCTTTGAAAGAGTCAGATGGGGTTGCCCCATGGGTGGGGCTCCCCACTGAGTGAAAGATAAATCACCTGAAAATTATTTACCCCAGAGGAAGCCCCAAAACAAAAAAAAACCCAACTGTCCTGGATCATGCAGCTATTAAGTGGCAGGACTCAGACACCAAAGTCTATGACCTTTTTATCAAGCCATGGTCCTCAGCTGATGTTGGTGCTAGGATACAGAGTTGTAGGACCAGGGACCTATTGGCAGGGAGCTTGTGTGGTAAAGGAAGAGGAAGGGCCATGAGCCCAGAAATCCAGTGGGTGTGCGAGGTCTCCACCATGACCACCTCAGGGGCCCTGGAGAATAAAGGGAGACACGTATTTAAATGTTTCCTGCTGTGTCTGTACCCAGCACAGGGCCCCACACATCTTCCTCTTCAGTGTGGGTTTGATGAATGTGTGAATGAGGAAGAGACCAGAGTGCCTAGGACAGAAGGAGGTTAGTCAAGGAAGACTTTTCAGATGAGTTCCTATTGGGTGGCCTTGAAGAATGAGTTAGGAGTTTGCCAAGTGAAAAGGAGGGGAAAGGCATTCCAGGCATATGCAAAAGAATAACAGGATGGAATAAAAAGTCTCTCAACTTGTTTTAAAAATATCAGAACCCACAACACACACACACACACACACACACACACACACACACACACAGTTAAAACTTTATTATATACAATGACTCTTGCTTTCTGGTCCTTTCCCATTTTGTAAATGTTAGTGGCAACCCACCGATTTGCTGTGATGAGGACTTGGGGGTGGGAGCGTTGGGAAAACTGGAGGCTGGAAGGGAGTTTGGAGCCAGACTGTGAAGACCTTTGGAAATCAGCATGATGATCTGGACCCTTTTTAGTCCTTGCCCCCTGCAAGGTTGGACCCTAAAAACTCCTTGCTCCTTCTATAGCAATTTGAGTAACTGCCTTCATCCCTGGCTAGTTTTCTTCAGTTGGCTCTAGCTTCTTCTCTTCCCCAGCTGGTTCTTTAACTCATGCTGAGTTCCTGGGGCTCTGCACTGGGCCTCCTTGGCCTCCCACAGCACTCATCCCCTTCTTGGTTTGAAGGACCACTGCTTCCCACTGTGGAGGTCCACCACCTTTGAAGGGCCTCTGTTTTGAGCTCAAGGCACATACAATCAGTAATCTACAGATACCTCAATCTCTCAACCAGTTCATCACCCTCTGACTGGCTCCTCTCCCATCCCAGCTCCATGTTGCCCTCACCAATCCTACACACTGTCTCACAGAATAGGATCCTGTCCTTGGAGTCTCCTCATCCTGTCGATTCTGCTCTCAACTCCATCTGCTTCTCTCCATGCCATCTGCCACTACCCTTGTCCAGGCTGGGGCTTTTCTCTCTGGATAACTGTTTTACCACCTGTTCTTGTCTCCTGCCCCTTTCTATTGATGCCCCATAAGAGCTGCTTTGAGCCTCTGAAAAAGAAATTGAATCATGTGACACCACTGCTTCAAACTTATTAACATTCCCTAAATGTATCCCCAGTCCCCTGCTGGGCCCCTTCTCTGAAACCTTCCCCCATTCCCACTGTCCCTAACACTCTGTTCTCTAGACCCATCAGACCACCATGGGCCCTGCTTCCTCTGGCTTCACAACCTTTACCTAGTGAACACCAACTCATTCCTTCTGGATCCCAGGGTAGGAACATCTCCAGGAAGCCTTCCCTGATTCACTCAGGCTGGATTTGGTGACTTTGTCTCTGTTTCCACAGTCCACTGTGCATCCCCCAGCTTTATGTCTAACACCTTCCTTTTTATTGCAGTGGCCCAAGTCTGTCTTTTCCATTAGATGGGCAGCAGAATTGCGGGGTTAAGGGCAGATGTTAAAGCCAAACTCTTTAGGTTAAAATCCCAGCCCCACCATGTTTGGGCAGTGGGACTTTGGAACTTTATTTAATCCTTCTGTGATTTGCTTTCCCCATACTGTAAAATGAAGGTAACGATGATGATAATAATAATATTAACAAGAAGAACAGCTGCTAGAGGGTTAAATGAGTGCCTGGCACATAGCAAGTGCTGTGTGTTTGGTGATTTAAGTCAGCACTCAGACTAGTTACTCCAGGAGAGTAGACCCTGGATTTATTGGATCCACCGCTATGTCCCCAGCTCCTGCCCCAACATCCTAGTTATGAGTGTGACACAATGAATTTTTGGTCTCAGAGAATGGTGAAACATATAGATAAGAAAGTAACATTTGAGCAATGCTTCTGAGGCAGACTGCTGAGGGCTCCATGCTGACGGAATCTGTGGGTGAGACAGGAGGAGGAAAAACCTGACAAGACAAACCTGTGATGTAGCCTCTCAAATCTTCGGCTGTTTCAATTCACCAGCCACCTCACCCCAGCACTCATTAGCACCTCAATCCATGAAGGACTCCAGCTAGTGTAAGAGTCATTGTACATTCCTCTCTTCTCTCTCCCTACCCCTACCCTTCTCCACTGAGTCCAGGCCCAGGGTCTTCCCTCCTTTCTGCACCCCACTTCCACCCTAGTTGTTCCAATTAGGATTGCTGAGTCACAAGTAACAGCAACACAGTGGCCAAAATGAGAATTTAATTATCTTCACAAATCATGGGGTTCAGCAATTTGGACAGGACACAGTGGGGATGACCACAGAAGCCAGCCTACAAAGCCTTAGCTGCAAAGACTCACAGGCAGGAGTGACTGAATGGAGGCTCCTTCACCCACTGTCTGGCACCCAGCTGGGTGACTCCAATGCTGAGCTCAGCTGGGACTGTGGACTGGAGCACTTACACATGGCTTCTAAATATGCCTGGGCTTCCTCACAGCATGGCCGCCTCAGACCTCCGTGGTGGCTCAGGGTTCTACCAGGTATTCCAGCCAAGGCAGAGGATGCACTGCCTCTCATGACATAGTCTTGCAAGTCTTGCAGCATCACTTTGGCCACACCTTGTTGGTCGAAGTCCTCAGAAATCAGCCCAAATTCAAGCAGGGAGAGCACAGAGAACCCACCTCTCAATGGAAGGCGTGTCTAATAATTTTGTTCCACGCTTCAAAACCACCACCTGATCCCCAAACACCAGTGTCTTGTTCCTGGACCTGCTCCCTGGTCTGCCTGGCTCCACTGTGGCCAGCCCTTCCCATCTCCTCAGGGAGTTCTCCACCGAAGCCAGGGGAGATTTTGAACACAACAGTACTTCCTACTGAAATCTAGGCTCCCTGACATGGCCACACAGCTGCATGGGATCCTTCCCACCTCAATGGCTTTCTTTCTCTTTCTTGGCTGCAGCTCCAGTGCCCTCCTGGGGTTCATGCCCAACACCTTTCCTTCCCGAAATGTCAGTCCCCTAAATCCTGTGTCCTTCAGATCTCAGCTGGAATGCCACCTTGCTGGATCTAAAACAAACCATGCATCACACAGTGTGCCTCTCCCACAACTCTGTTTTATTATCTCCACTTGCATTTGTTTACGTTTGGTCTGTCTCCTTCACAAGTTCCAAGAGAGAAAGACCCTTGTCTCCCTTGTTCCACATAGCCTAGGTTCCCTCACCATGGCGGGCGCAGGCATTTGTGGGTTGTGAATGAACGCATGAATGGTAGTTTTCAAGGAACATGTGCGTGGTATGAAAAAGCAATTATAGAGGAGAGGCAGGCATGGCCTGGGATGGAGTGTGGTGGAGGTAGCCTTGTTTCTAACCGGGTTCTGCAACTCGCTATCTGGGGTCTTTGGAAAAACACCGTCGCATCACTGAGCTTCAATTTCTTCAGCTGAAACTTGAGTCCAGCAGCCCCCAGCTCATTGGACAGGAGTGTATATCATAGGAAGGATTCAGCACCTCTGGCCAGCCAGAACGCAGTCCTCCAGTGAGGCCAAGCTGTAACACCTGCTATGCTCGCCAGGTGTCGCCCCGTGGTGCGCTCTGAGCCATGCGCTCTCGGGTGGCTCCGCGGCCCGACGTTTAGATTCCATGCGGGGCATCCGGGCCTCAACCTGACTGTCCACTAGGAGCGGGGTTCCAGAGGAGGCTGCCCAATCTGGGCACCCACTTGCTATCCCCCATCGAAAAGACAGGGATGGGGGAAGAATATGCTGAGTCAGTTATCCCGCTCCGCCATTAGCTCTAAGGAAGGGGTGCCCTCCCCAAGAGGGTCTCGGAAGCCCCGGGGAAGGCGGAACCGGGTGCTACCTAACATCCTACAGCCAGCTCCAAGCTCTCGGCCAGGCGAGGAGGCCGGGGAGACACGCCAGAGCCTAGGCTTCCCACCCAAGGCCTGATTCCCTCCTCCGCCCCGAGTGCAGTCCCTGAGCGTCCACTCGTCCCGCAACTTGCGAATTAGTCACCTCTGGGGATCGAGCAGCCTTCCACCTCTCCCCACCCGGTTCCGCGTCCCAGAGCCGAGAGAGGGCGCCTCGCGAGCGCGCCCACTCCCCGCGCCTCGCACATTCGCACCGGCAGCTTGTGCGCAGTCCGGCGTCGCCCCGCGGTGCGCTCGCTCCTCCCTCCCTCCTCCCGCTCCGTGGATCCCGCGTTCCGGGAGAGGCTCAGGCGCCGAGTGCGCGGACTGGCACACGAACAGACGGCCCTGGGGACGCCTTGGCCCGCACCTCCCGGGCGGGCTATGTTGATTGTCTTACCGGGGTCGGCCAGCGGGATCAGCACAGCTCGGCCCGCGGCCCCGGTGACCAGGGGGGACTATGAATCGGAAAGCGCGGCGCTGCCTGGGCCACCTCTTTCTCAGCCTGGGCATGGTCTACCTCCGGATCGGGTAAGGGCCTCTCGCAGCCCCTGCACGCGTGTCCCGGCAAAGTTGGCGTGGCCTGGGGAAAGGCTGTGCTGCCTAAGAGCCGCCGTTGGCCGCCAACTTCCGTGGCCCCATCAGAGAGGCCGGGTGGGCAGGGTGCGGGAGAGGTGGGTGCACAAAGGCCCCCCGCATGCAGGCGCCCCAGTTGTTGTACGTCAGTTCGAGAGGTACGAGCTGGTAGACCCGCCATCCTGAGGATGTCTCAGTCTGGAAGCCCTCAAAACTAGAGATCGCCAATAGGGACGCTCCAGCTTGGGGGGCTAGGGTTAGCCAATCCCAGAGGCCCTTCAGTACGGGGCATGGGAACAGCAGGTCCAGCAGGAACATTGTGTCAGTATCTGGGACCCCAACTGCTCCCAGGGAGCTCATCCCCCAGAGCCTCAGAGGCACGGACACAAACGCTCCTAGAGACAGGGCAGTGCCCGCGGGGCCGGCGGGGCCGTCCGAACAACAGGGAACAGGTACCCAGAGGGAGGGATGTTCTTGGACAAAAAACACCAACCCTGCTCAGAACCCTGGCACTACACGATTGCTAAGGACCCTCGGACGTCCAGAGCCTTTCCTAGGCCAAGGCGACAGCGTCTACTAGCCGAAACAGACACACACAGAGACAGGACGAGAGCTGGCCCGGAGACACCAAAGGAGGCAAGCTCGCAGAGCCAGCGCCCGAGAAAGGCGGGACACCCTAACCTAAAACTGGGTGCCAGAATCGGTCTGCGCACGGGCGGAGCAGCCCCCCTCCTCCAGTCACCACTGCATTTCTATGGAGGTGGGCTGGGGCGGTACTCTGTTTGGAAGGTTGGGGTGGGGGCTCCAAACGGGTCTTGGAGCTGCATTTGCACGGCCAGTCACCCTTTGTACTTAAGAGATAATGCGTGTGAAGCACAGAAGGGTGAAACCGGGAGGGGGGCTTTAAGGATTGATAGAGGTTGTGGCGCTGATGGGGCCACCTTGGCAGGTTGCACACAGCCTGCTCCCCCACCCCCAGCTGGGAACCTCCCTACTGCTCTGCTTGGGGAAGGGCGGGCTGGCTGCCGGGGCTGCTGCGAGGGGTAGTGTGTGGCAGATCCTTTGTGTTTTGTCACTACCACTCCTCCCCTTTGCCCACCTCGTGTCTCTGGAGCAGGGATTTCTCAGGTTGACCCGCAGTGGAAGCAAGCAAGTGCGCACAGAGCTAACGAGCTGGCCCGCCAGCCCCAACTGCTGGCAGAGCAGGCGACCGCGGGCGCAGAGGTGGCTGTGGGGCCCGCGTACTGCCGGCCTCCTGTGTGTTTTAAGTGTTATTGATTCGCCCGCGGCTGAGTGGCTTCTCTCCCCCGCCTCCCCCCTCTCCCCCCACCTGCTTTAATCTTCACTTTGGCTGGCGCACCCGCCGCCACGCGCGCATCTAGCATCCAGGAAGCCGGTCTGGCTGATTGGCGCTAGCCGCTTGTGGCTTTATCTTCTTTTTAATTAGAAACGGGGTGGAGGGACCCGGAGGGGAGAGAGAAAGGAAAAACAACAGAAAATAACCTCCCCTGGCTGCACCGCCTGCCCGACCTCCCGCCGGCGCCAGCACCTCATTGACCCCGTGGGGGCCCAGCTGCCCCGGGGAGGGATCCAGGAAGGGCGCTAGCCGAACTGCGGCCCAGCAGCTGCCCTTTGGGGCCCAAAGAGGTCCAGGTCGGGAGGAATTGCAGGGTAATTTGGGACCAGGCCCTGCTGCTCCGTGAGCCTTGGGTTATCTATCTGTAAAGTGAGCATGCGGGGTGAAGTCCCTAAGAGGCCTTCTAGTTCCCCAGATATGACTGGTTCCTTCTGATGGCAGGACATCTGTGGTATTCTTATTTTATCTGGATAGTTCCAATGATTGAAGCACCAGCCCCTGTGACAATCAGATCTAATAATAATAATAATAATAACAACTTTAACAACAACATCTTCTAAGCACTCTCCATGTTTTAACACGTTTAATTTTTACAGCAATCCTGTGAGTTGGGGGCTAATTATTATTATCCTCATTTTAGCCATGGAAGTACAGAGAGGAAGTGTAACTTGCCCAAGGTCACACAGTTAGTAAGCGAAGGAAACTTACATGGCACCCTAGCTCTGGCCACTTAGCCAGGAGCCTATTGTTCCTATGAATTTTTGACCCTAATATATCATTACATTTCTCTGCTGGTGTAGGAATTTCCTTGTGGTCAGGTAAGAGTTCAAAGATTCCTCCTGACTTATGGATAGAACCTCCACTTAATCTTTCTGTGCCACTTCTTTCTCAAACAATTCAAACATCCTAGCTTTGTGTAGACTCTGTTTTAATGGCTGAGATGAATGGCTGTAGCTTCTGTTTCAAATCCATTATCTGCTAGCCTCCATGTCTCAATCTCTGTGAACCCCAGTTTTCAGACATGTGAAATAGATATGGTGAGTCTTGCCCAACAGGGCTGTTTAGAAAGGTCGCATGGGCTAATGTTAGTGACAGCATTCACCATACAGACTTGACACATACTAGGGATGCTGCAAAAGTTCACTAAGGCAGTCAAGTCCATATTTGGGAAGGAGGTGCTCACCTTAAGTGACATTTTTAAAGTTCTACAATCCATTTATGCAGTGACCATTTAGTGAACCCGCAGACAGCCTTCCTGCCCTCGAAGAGCTCACAGTCTAATGAGAAAGGCAATGAACAAGTGAGCAGACAAATGAAAAACAAACACACACATTAAGACATTTCAGAGGACTGGACCATGAGTAGCAAGAGTATTAAGAAACACAAAACAGAGATTGTGATGGAAAGTTAGGAGGGGAAGGGTGGGAAGGCAGGTGACTCAAGATCACATAAATGATGACAAGAAGCCAAGCATGTGAAGCTCAGGGGCTGAGAAAGCTTCTAGGGAGAGGTACCAACAAGGACAAAGGGCCTGAGATAGGAAGAAGGTGGTGTGAGGCAGGAGCAGAGGGAAAAAGGACAGGAGTGGTCAGTTAGGCACCTGGAAAGGAGTGGAATCAGCTCATCTCTGGTGCTATTGACACAGAGTAACTGCGCTTTAAGAAATCCCAATTCCAGAACAACTTCCCATGCCTGAGCTCCAGGATGGAAAGCATGGGGCACTTAGTCCAGTGACTGGCCATGGCCCTCAATAAGTGGAAACTCTTATTATTATAACTACAGTGAGACATCTGGGGTGAGATCTCTTTCAAAGTAGACTTGAGGGTTATACAAAAGGAAACTCCATATGAATGGGCCATTTTTATGCAAATGAAGGACTACCTGCATCATTAGGGTTACCATCTGAGCCTGTTTGGGGTTATCTTGATATTAAGAAATGACCCCATCCTCAGGCCAGGTATCCACAAGTCACACTGATGCCCATCTTTCTACCTTCTGCATCTGTCTTGTTAGCTCCACCCCATCCATCAGTTCATCAGTCCATAGCAAGTTTGGTCAGCTCCATCTGCAGCCATCCCCCAAGGCCAACCCACCACCACCTCTTGCCTGCCCACTCTCCCTGCTTCTGCCCTGGCATCTTATAGTCCTCTCCCGTGGGGCTGGAGAGATGGGACAATGTCAGTATCATGCTTACAGCCTTTCAGTGCTTTCTGATACCTGAGAACATTTTAGCCCTGAGTCTTTTGCCCCCAGATTGTCCTCTTTCCTAAGCTCTGGTTTGCATCACCTTCTATGGGTTCTTTCTGTTTCTTGGAGACCCCAAGCTTGTCCCCTTTCATGACTTCGTTTTCTGTTCCCTCTGCCCATAAATACTCTTCCCCATACCTTTCCACTGCTGATCAGTCAGGTCCCTGCTTCACTGCCACTTCCTCAGGAAGACCCTTCTTGACCACCCCAGCTAAAGTGGCTCTGTCCCTTCCCTCCCTAACCCACCCTTGCTGCCATCACAGCATCTTTACTTAGGCTCTGTAGTGTGCACCACTGTCTGGAATGGCTTGTTGTGTTTGTTTATCGTGCTTACATTGTCTCCTTCTGTAGCTCTTCGAGTGCAGGGCCTTGGCACCTGAGAGATGTCTGATATGTGTCTATTCAGTGAATGACTCTCCATAGTAGGCATAAGCTTCCTCTAGGCCAGTCATGTCTAGAAGAGGCTACATGTACACCATTGGCATGCAGGGAGCAAACCTAGAAATTGTATTCACAATTTCTGCTTAAATATTTTTTGGTAATAAAACATACACATACATACTAGAGAGTATATAAAACATGTACAAACAGTTGTTTTTTTAAATGAACATCTGTGTACCCACCAACCTTTCAGAGGCAATTGCTGCATGAAATTGTAGTTTCCCTTGCTTGCCTTTATCGTTTTCCCACATAAAGATGATTCCTGAACAATATTGGGATTCATTTTGCATGATTTTAAATTTCATCTCAATTGAAACCTACCATAATTAGAAAGGCAACTTGCTTAGTTCCAACATTTATGTTTGACATACATCATCTTATTTTTTGCTATTGAAAAAGGAAATCAAGCCTCACTAATATTGTATATACACCCCACACAGAAACCAATGTGAAACCACAGGTGAATAAACCTGGGTTGGGGTGCAGTATCAAAAAAGTTGGGAGACTCCTGCTGGGAGCTGTGGGGTGAGGTGGCCAGGAATGGATACCAGGGAGGACCTGTAGTCCATGCCCCACCCTGCGAGCCTAATGCTCCCTCTCTCTGTGTCCTCTGCTCCAGTGGCTTCTCCTCGGTGGTAGCTCTGGGCGCGAGCATCATCTGTAACAAGATCCCAGGCCTGGCTCCCAGACAGCGGGCGATCTGCCAGAGCCGGCCCGACGCCATCATCGTCATAGGAGAAGGCTCACAAATGGGCCTGGACGAGTGTCAGTTTCAGTTCCGCAATGGCCGCTGGAACTGCTCCGCGCTGGGGGAGCGCACCGTCTTCGGGAAGGAGCTCAAAGTGGGTACGTGCTCACCGGACACTGCAAACAGGCAAAAAGGGTCTTACAGGCTACTGACAGAATACTATTGGGAGAATCTGGGACTCCTCATCTGCCCATGCTGGGATGACCCCACTGTGGGATCCTCAAGGGGCTGCGACTTGAATTCAGGTCTCCTAACAAGAGTTGGCTCTCTGGTTTGAATCCAGACCACCCTGGCCCTGTATGGCAGAGTTGAATACTAACTGGTTGATACAGCACTTATGTTGTTTTTTAAATTGAGGCCCAAATTTAAAATTAGCCATTTTACCTAAAAGTAAAATTTGTGAATTCTTTTGAAAAATAAGCTTACACATGTATCCACATAGTTATTATGGGCTGGAGCTGAGAACACAGCTTCCTTTAGGTGGAGCCTAGGCAACCCATTTACTGCCATAGTCCCCATCACTCCCTATTATCCATCTTATATTCACCCTTATATGATACTAGAGGCCCGGTGCATGAAATTCATGCACTGGTGGGGGAGGGGTCCCTCAGCCCAGCCTTCACCCTCTCAGAGTCTGGGAGCCCTCGGGGGTTGTCTGACTGCTGGCTTAAACACACTCCCCCTGGCTGAGCGGTGCTCCCCTGTGGAGCACACTGACCACCAGGGGGCAGCTCCTGCCGTGAGTGTCTGCCCCTGGTGGTCAGTGCATGTCATAGCAACCAGTCGTTCTGCTGTTTGGTTGATTTGCATATTAGCCTTTTATTATATAGGACTAGAGGCCCGGGGAGGGGGGAGGGTATCCCTCAGCCCCACTTGTGCCCTCTCACAGTCTGGGACCCCTCAGGAGATAACGCACAGAGCAGGGCCCATCAGGGGGTTTGGGGCTCCGTACCCTGTCACACACAGAGCAGGGCCGATCAAGGGGTTGGGGAGCTCCCCCCTGTCATGCACAGTAGGGCAGATCAGGGGGTTGGGGAGATCCCCCGTGCCGTGCACAAAGT